AGGAGAAATAAATAAAAAAAAAAGTTTCTTTGATTTTCTTAAATCTGAGGAAAAATATAAAAAAGTTCAACTATGTTATGTTCACATGCACGATATGATAAAATAAAGGTTTTGATATAATTTTTTAAACTTACAAAGCCCAAATATTTTAATAAAAAAATTATTCTAAGATTATCCTAAATCTTATTTTTAATGAATTTTTCCTTAAAAATAATGTCTTCAAATGAGAAAAATTCATTGAAAAATAAACACATGGAATAAGGGATGGATTGAATGATATACGTTTAAAAGAATATTATAAATAAAATATTTTATGATTATGAATCAATAAATGTTATTGTTGAATATACTAATGATTAGTGTTAATTGTTTGTTATAATTTAAAATTATTATCATTTGTAATGATAGAGTCATTAATCCTCTCTTTAAATTAAAAAAAAAAAGTGAAGAAAATAACTGATTTATTATATATTTTAAAATTTCTGATAAATGATGAAAAATATGTATCTTTGTTTGGAGAAGCTTCTAACTTTCCATGGGGATATTTTCTTATTATTTTCTTTAAAAAAAATTAATACATTTTTTTAAAAAAATAGCGAAAAGTCAATGACAAAAGACTATCCCAAGCGAATTCTAAGACTTCATTTGAGGCATCTTTCAAAAGCGGCATTCTTACTACTTTTTATAGATTTTGGTAATAGAAATTTGCTTTTAAAAGTGGTAAGAAAGCCATCCCAAACAAAACTTAAATTTTTTCTATTTTTTTACTTTTAAAAGCTAATTTCTTAGTTATAGTTTCAAAAATGCTTTTTCAAAAATTCTATTTATAAGTCAAAATTTTGAAATAAGGTGAAAAGTTATCTTCCAAATACATAAATTCTAAACAATAGTATGTAGCCCTCTCTCTCTCTCTTAGGGCTGCAAACGAACCGAGCCGAGCCGAGTATGTGAGTGTTCATTTAATATCAACTAGTTCAAGTTTGGTTCATGTTTGTTCGAGCTTTATTGTTTGTGTTCATGTTTGGTTCATTTAAATTAATGAGTGTTCATGTTCGGTTCCTGTTCAGTTCATGTTCGTTCGTTTAGTGCTTATCGAGCTTGTTCGCGAACATATTTAACGAATTTTTTTTAACTATCAAACAAACACGTTCATGAACATATCTATGAACAAATACATTTATAATAAAAACAATAGTCTATGTAACAAAGGCAATGATTATTTATATTTATTAATTATATAGTCAAATATTAGTTATTTTTATCGAGCTTATTCACGAGTTCAAAATCGAACACGAATCGAGATTTTATCGAGTTTCTTATCGAGCTTAATGTCGAGCTTGTTCACGAACTTCAAATGATGTTGTTTGCGAACATAAATGAACTAAACGCATTAGTGTTCAAGTTTATTTATTTAATAATCGAGTATTTAAAATATTGTTCAAACTTGTTTGTTTAGTTAATTAAACGATCACAAACGAGCTTTAATCGAACCGAACAACGAGTAGTTCATCAAACGTTTGGTTCGCATGCAGCCCTACTCTCTCTCTCTCTCTCAAAATTTAAGGGTCAAGCCCTCCAAAATTTGCCCTTAGTACAAACTATTTCAAAGGGATTTTTTTTATATTTAATTTTTTGCTATTGATATGATTTACATGTAAAAAAATGTAATATTAGCTGACTTGTTTTATAGAGAAATGTGTAGAAGAAGCATTCAATAATAAAACTATATGATTTTCTTTTCCCGTTTTCAAATATTATTATTTGACTATTGACATCTCCAATGTTTTCAAACGATATTGTCAAAATAACTGCATGTATAGCGTATTTCAGTTTGCGTTGTGGTATTTTTGTAAAAAAATAATTTTTTTTTTTACTTTATATTATCATTAAGGCTTCATTTGAGATAGCTTTCTTACTTTCTTAAAGCAACTTTCTAGTGCAAAAATTTCAAGTTCGAAAAATTCTCGTACTACAAAGCTGCTTCAAAAAGCATGAAAAAAATTATTCCTAACGAAGCCTAAATAAAAAAGCGCCAGACTTGTCACTTTCTATTTTATTTTTGATGATTAAGACTTCGTTTGGGACGACTTTCTTACTGCTTGTTAAAGCAGCTTTCTAGTACTAAAAAGCTGCTTTAACAAGCAGTAAGAGAGTCATCCCAAACGAAACCTTAATGATTCTTACAGAACATTTAAAGGTGCACGAGTAGGCTTTCTATTACAAAAAATTTAATTTTTGTTCTAAGATTCTTTAAGAAACAGTAAGAAAATCATCCCAAAGATCATGGTGTGACAAGCGGGCCTAACCTCATCACTGCATATCTAAATTTGACTAATTCAGTTGGAATTTTTATGAGAAGTAAACTGATTCACAACAATCTGGCAAAAGAATGATGAAAAGAAACTAAATAGCCAAACATGAAATTAAATAAACTTATTTATTATATGAGGCTCATGACCCAGGATTGATACAGCAAAAGGAGGTTATTACTCCAATCAGATTAGATAGAATATGACCTGGAACTCCTGATTGTTCAAACCCTTTAGAACAGCTAGGCCTATTCTGAGCCCCTCTCTTGACTCCCTTCCAGCCTTTTGTTGACCCTTCGCCTGGAGATGATAATTTGGCAACAGTGAGATAAAGTGATAAACTTATGGAAGGAATACATTGAATTAGTATTTAATGATATTAGTTCAACATGCTCATATGAAGGCATAACAAATCATAGATGCATTTAAGTTTCGTTTGACACAGCTTTTTTACTATTTCCTAGAACATCTTTTTAGTATAAAATTGCTTTAGAAAGCAGTAAGTAAATTGTCCCAAACGAGCCCTAGAACAAAGAGTTATGTATAACAATGATCAAATATATGCCTTTCTATGTCATGATTTTACTTCCATTCTCAGGTGGTTCATGCATTATTGTTCATTCATTTGTATAATGATGACAAAACATTCATGTGCATTTATGCTGGATGTTGCATTCCATGAGGTGAATAATGAATCAGAGCATTGAGATTCATCTATTCCCTTGTGAGAGAAATTATTCTGTGCGGTCATTGGACGGCGTATAGAGGCAAATTAGGAAGTGCCATGTCATTTTTTTACTGTGTGCTGGGTGATGTGGCGCATCCTGATTCGCCTATGGACTGTCTGGTGACCGCATATAATAATTTCTCCTTGTGAGAAGACTTTTCATGAGCAAGAAGTATAGTTTGTCTATGGTAGCAGTAGATAGTTAAAGTGCTCGTTCAAAAAAATGAAAACAAAGCGTTTGATCTGATCCAGTGGAAGTAAGATCTGATGAACAATCAAATACAAAGAGAAATAAACAATTAATTTATCACAAGAGTGATTCGATAAAAGATGCATATTTTCAGTTTGGAACCTACGCACGCATGATATTCTTAGTTTGTGTATCTCAATATTACAAAGGCTCTCCACAGAGAGAAAAGACGGTGAGTTGACTTCTATAATAGCTTTAGGAAAATAGGGGGAGAAGGCAATGAGAAGAGAGTGTCCAAACGCTCACTAGTGACAAATATATTACCACCATAAGCTTTTCCATCTATGACCCATTGGATCAAGTTGCACATGAAACTCAGAGCAAGCATCATTTTCATGACAATTTTTATACTATCACAACTCCTTTTCATCACAAGCTATGATTGACTTTCAATAAACAACATTTATTTGAGATCGAGAGAGCATGCACATCGAGATTTAAAATGTAAAAGTTAGGAAATATCATACCAAGCTTACTCTAGGAGTCAAAGAGAAAAATCACAACTCACAACATATAAAGAAGCCAAAGGCTTTCGAGTGATTCAGTTGTATGTCCTAACTATGGGGCAAGCTGTGGGAAAATATTCCCTATCTTAGAGTAATAGAGTGCATCAAACAAGCTTGAGAGTTACATAGTACTATTCTCAAGAATTAAGAGAGTTGAGAGAGGGACAAAGAGAGAGAATGAGAGAGGAGCGGGAAAACCAAATGCCCAACATGTTAGAAGAATCCCATATACCTTAATAGCTCCCATAGTGAACCTACATTTTTGCATTTATAATGGTGATCCTCTTAAGAGTGCGAGTTGAATCAATATCTGCTTGAGCAAAATGATACAAAGAAATGCACTAAAAGTCAACATTATTGAATTAAACGAGCGAACTAACTGATGCACTGAGGAACATTGGAGGGTTAATATTCCTTCTATGTGCAATAAATATAACATAATAATCATAAATGTGTCAAAATCCTTACATTTCGACTTGCCTTGAACATATTCTCAAAATTACACCTCCCCTCCTAAATTTATAATATTAAAAGATTAAATGAAAAGGGGGGAAAGGAGCTAAAAGAGCAAAACAGGGGCAGCGACACTAAAAAGAAACATAATGATGGAGGAAAGTCGATAATGTCTTCTCTGATTATCTCTTTGAGAGTTTAACGCCCTGTGAATTCAAGATGGTACACACCTATACATTTCGACTCTTCTCAACTAATCATTTTGCAAGCCTCTTGATCCCAATTCATAAAATAAAGAGAGACGAGAGGTATAAGAGTGATATAAAATACTCAACCGAGAGAACTTGAGCCAATAGGAACACATACCTTTGAGCCGCCCATGCTGAATCTACTAAAGACCATTCATATTTTTGTGAAGTCTAGTCCTCTCCTCAATGTTGATTTGGAGGAGTTTTAAATTATGCTTAAATAGTTGTTATTTTGCACCCCTTCATTCATTCTGATGATGGATCATTTGGCCTGTCTATGTAAATCATTCGAGTAAAATAAATTTTAATGTTTTTATCCGTCTAGTTATGTTACTAATTATTCTATATTTCTATAGATTGTGTTTCGCTAAGTTGAACCATGCTCTCTTTTTATGCTATCAAAAATAATGATTCGCCTTGTTTGCTCCATAAATGTATAGGAATACTCATCCACAAAGAATAAAAATATCGGCTGCAAAAGAACACAGAACAGAAAGATCCACAAGCAAATTGAAACCAGCTTTTCTCAGTAAAATCCTTTAATTTAATCTGAATTCTTAAAAATCTGGTATAAAATACAGAAATTGAGTAACACACTTACAAAGAAATGGGAAAATTTTTTGTTTATCATTTAAGGCGATGGTAATAGTAGATGACAGTAGTAAGTAAATTAATGGCTAAAGACAAACACCTCGAAAAAGGAGGGAAAGTGAAGAAGAATAGAAAAATAGATTGATGATCAAGTAAGCATAAATCAATAAGAAGAGACAGATCTCCTCGCCTCAAGCCTGGTAGGAGGGATCGATGGTGAAGAGGACAATAGCGGCTTCTCCGCCATTAGCGTTGCCTTCGATGGATATCCGGGAGTTGGCGTCACTGAAGGCAGCGAGGTTAGTTGAGGAGGAATAGGAAGTGGCTAGGTTAGTGGAGGATGAAGAGGAAGTCAAGGACTGCCATGAGGAGGATCGCCGGCGGATGGGGTAAGAAACGGTGGAGGAAGAAGGGCAGGGTGCATCGGAGGGGATGGCACGAGAGCGATGAAGGGCGCAGCCACAGTTCCGATGGTACGGACGTCGGCGGATCTCACCGTCGAAATCCGGAATGCTTGCATCCCACATACCCTGCCAATTGAACCAGCCCGGCGTCGCTGCCGAGCCCGGCATTGCTAGTTCTCTTTGAACAGATCAGATCTTACAAAAGCCGAGAGAGAGAGAGAGAGAGAGAGAGAGAGAGAGATGGAAGATGAAGAAGGGAGAAATTTGGGGTTTCCTATAGCTTCTGGTTCGTTAGCGACTAAGCGTTTTAAGCGAGAACGTCGAAGGAGTCGTAAATATAGGAACCGAGTTGGGTGAGAATATGGTATCAAATTTACTCGATGAAAATCTCGCGATATTTTCACTGTAATTTCATCCTATTTTTTAATGATATTTACTATTTTCCTTTATTTTTTGAGAAAAAATGAGGCATATTTTCTTTTTTAAAAAAGTGAAAGTGAATTTAAAATATTTGAAATTTCATTTTAAGCTAGACATAATATATTACAAAAAATTAATTGTATATTACAATAATTTTAAATAAATTTATGAATTTTAAAACATTTTGATTAAATTTTAATTTTAATATTTTTGAAATGGGGTTAGTATTTGAGAAGGTTAACTTATTTCTTTTTAGTTTATAAATCTATTTAAAATATTTAATGCATTTATATCTATAGCCTTTATTTAAATAGTTGGCATTATTTAATTTTTCTTTAAATGATTTACAAAATTAAGTTAAATTTTTTTGTATTAAAAAGTTATTTTATAAAGCGGTGAGAAAGCTGCCCCAAATAAAACCTACGGCTTCATAATATTTTTCAAGACCCTCTCAATTATATTAGTTGACATCCACATATATTTTTAATATCTAAATAAAAAATGAGTGTTAATTATTTTTTATTTATTAATTATTCTACTTCATATTAAATAAGGATTTGGGTTAACAAATGTATAGATTAGCTTAATCATTTTTGTGAGTCATGTAGTTCATAGTTAGTAATAAATTTTAAGCATTAATGTGCTAAATGAGGCATTAAGGTTTTATTTGGGATAATTTTTTTTTGCATTCTAAAGCAAATTTTTTATTTATTTATTTTTAATTATAATTTTTTGTTCTAAAAAACTACTTTAGAAAATAATAAAAAAGTTGTGTCCCAAATGAAGTCTAAGGCTTTGTTTGGGACGGCTTTCTTAAAATTTTCATACAAAAAATCTACTTTAAGAAGCAGTAAGAAAACAGTTCCAAACGAAGCCTAAGTATTTTGTACTATATATACATATCTTTGTTTCAAGAGTTGAAGAGAATGAATGATGTTACTCTTCTTACTTGAAATATTCTTCTTCGTCTTCCTCTATCGTCTATCAATCATGTATTTACTTGAGGTGCTCGTGAATATAATCGTCATTTATTAATTGTTGTGAACCTCTAAAAGGGCGAATCAAATACAAGACATATAAACAAAAATATATGAATGTGAATGATGATGAAGACGAGTCTATGAAATAAATAAATTATTTTTCTACAAAGTCAATTTTATTCGTTATCAAATTTCTCAATGACTTGAATTTACACTAAAACATATATAACGAGAAACAACCAACATATCATGCAAAAATTTATCCGAGGCATCACTATAATAGAGTTTAACATCAATGTGAAGATGTACGTTTAACTTGCTCGGTATGTAGATAACGAAAGATTTTAGAATAATATAAAGTTTTAGGGTTAAAAAAAATACTTACATCTCATGGTCAATACAAGAGAGAAGAAGCGAGGATGATGCCACAGAAAAATACTATGCATTGGGGAGGTGAGCTTGTCGTCGTCGAGTTCGCGAATCACTAACAACAGCGGCATGTAGGTCTAGCGGGAGATGAACGGAGACTGAACACACGAACTCGGGATCGGGCGAAATTAATTAAGGCATGGAAGGGGATCAAACGTCATTAGGTTATTTTCCTAAGTTTACTCATTGGTCGTTAGTTCTTAAGAATCGACGCTGGTTCTATGGTTTGCCGGTCCGACCGAGCGATTTTTGCCTGGTCTAATTCAAAACTGATTCTAATGGTTAATCGAATCGGCTGACTGACTAGTTCATTGTTCAACCAATTGAACCGACCACTCAGGTCCGATTTTAAAACCATGATCATCACTCAAAATTAGATATTTATCTCAATTTTCTTATTTTATTTGATGCTTTTATTATTTTTCAGTATATTATTTTATCAAAACTTGAATCACTAATGTTGTTATCCAAATTGCATTTCATTTCAGATCTAATTAAGACTTCTCTAATAAAAAAAATACAACTTTTTTTTTACTGTTTTTCTATTTTATTAGATTTTATGAAAATAAAAAATAATAATAATAAAGAAGCCGAAAGCTGAAGGAAAAAAATTAAAAAAACTTGTCAAAGATGTGGGCCCGCAAGTCAAATTAAATAAGCTGGTGAGCGTTATTTTGCAGTTGCAAGTGGGCAGTCGTCGGCACACCTGTCAGTTGGGATTGCAGCTTTAATGCTTATTTATTTATTTATTTACTTAAATTTTGAGAAATCCTTAAAGAATGAAGTTAAATTTTTAATCATGCATGTGATTTTTAATGTAAAGATTAAAATTTTATTAGAAAATCTAAAATTAAGGCTTCTTTTTTTACGGCTTTGAAAAGACCAAACCAAACATAAGCAACAACAAAAACTTATGTTGGTCAAAAAAGAAACCCCAACTATACCACCCAAAATACAACAAGAAAAAACTGTACTAAAAGTGGTAAAACAAAATTGAGTTTCAGCACAGAGAGCCACAACTCCAGGCTCCAGCAGGATCCAGAGAACAGATACGAGAGGCAGCAGAGATAGCAGCATTCCCTTGGTTGCCAAATGGCCATCCAAAGGGAATGACTCAAAAATTAACGAGGGACAACAGCATCTTCCTGGCTACATAAAAAACTCGCTAGCCAGCCAGCACAGCAACAGAGTACTCAGGCAGCACCAAAAGAACCAGATCCAGAAAATAAGCATAGCCAGAGTGATAGAAACAGAATCAGAAATGCCCCAAAAGCAAGTCCCTATGTTTCCACTTTCTCAATTTAATATTAATGACCCTTTTAATAGAAGCAATAAGGGTATTAATACAATGAAAATCATTCCCAAATCTCCTGCTATTACGTTCTCGCCAAATATAATAAAGAGAGCAGCAGACCACCAACTTAAAGCAGTTCTTGAACAGAGAAGAACCCAAGTATTCCGAATCAAGCCATTGTAAAAACTGGAGGAAAGTGGGTCTAAACAGAAACCCAGAAGAAGCAGGAATGAGGGCTTCAAGCACAGAAAAAGAATAATCACATTCGAAAAAAAGGTGGTTGACGATTTCAGGGTAATTATTACACAGAGAACATAGTTCAGGGACTATGATATTACGAAGCCTTAAAGCATCTTGAGTTTTTAAACCCCCCACCAGAGCAAGCCAAACATAAACAGAGTGCTTAAGACTGTAATTTTTATGCCAAACAAGATTATCCCACGGGCTGTCCTAAGAGCCAACATAAAATTCCTCCATAAAATCCTTAAAATTAACCTTGGATTTATCCTTCCAGATGATGCAGGAAATAGGGTCAGTTGCAATAGGAACATTAGATAAAGAGTTCCTAATATTAGAAGGCAAACCAACAGGGAAATTCCAGCCCCCAGCATTCTGGTAATGCTTTAACAAATGTTCAGGCATCCAGTCCATGATTTCTCTGCCAAATAACTCAATCAGAGAATGCTTCTCACACCAGGGATCCCAATGTAAGGCAATTGGGGCCGAAGAAGAAACATTAAAGCTGCAATTATGTTTAACCAACAAGGCAGTATTACAAATACTGACCCAGAATTTGCTAGCTAAAGGAGGTGGAGGTTTCCAAGGGGATAGATATCTAGAGCTAAGCCATGCAGCTAGTAAAGAAGAACTGTTGTACATCCTGAAAATAATAGTGCAGTTAAAAGCATACTGGATAGCATTCAGAGATGGGAGACCGAGCCCACCCTTAGACGTAGGCTTGCACACATTGTCCCAGGATACCATATGAAGCTTATTAGAACAGCCAATATCTCCAAAAAACAGGAATCTAGAGCAAGTTTTTTTAAAAAACTTAAAAACATATTTAGGTAAAATTGAACCTCTAATCCAGTATGCAATAGTGTTTTGGATAGTGAATTTCAGATATTGCAATCTACCCGCAAGAGAGAGAAGGTTAGCCTTCCAACCATTGAATTTCTTATGTAAACTATCCATTAAAGGCATAAAATCAGCAACTTTCAAATTGTAGAAGGCAATCGGAATACCCAGGTAGGAAATTTTAGAGGTAATATGATGTATGGATAAAGCTTGACAAAGCAAGTCCAGGTTTTTCTGCTTCTTAGTAAACATCACAGAACATTTTTCATGATTAACCTTGAGACCAGAGGCATCACCAAATTCACTGAGAATATTGGAAAGTAGGGAGCAGTTAGCCACAGTTGCTTCACCAATTATAAGGACATCATCCGCATACAAAAGGTGAGAAAGATGAAAATTCTCTGTTTTGAAACCTTTAAAACCTCTTTCCTCCAGCAAATTAGAGAGGGCATCCATAACAATACAGAAAAGATAAGGGCTCAAAGGACACCCCTGCCTAAGACCCGCAGAGGAGGGAAAATAGCCTTCTAAAGCACCATCAATAACCACAGAAAAGTTGACATTGGAGATACAGGCTTTAATCCAGTTGATAAATTCCTTAGGAAAGCCTTTTTGGTGCAATCTAGCAAGCAAGAATTCTCTGGAGACAGAATCAAAGGCTTCTTTAATATCAATTTTGGCACAAAAGATATTATAGGCACCTTTCTTGGAAACCAGAGAGAGAATCTCCTTAGCAAGTAAAATACTATCAGTAGAAATTCTAGACTTCACAAAACCTGCTTGAGTATCTTTGACAATGGTAGGCATCAAAGGTTTAAGTCTAGCAGCCATCACTTTAGCAATAATTTTATAAAGAGTATTGCAAAGGGAGATAGGCCTATAGTCTGAGATAGTGGTGGCATTGCTAGATTTAGGAATAATGACAAGAGCAGTGGCTTTGATACCACTAGGAAGATACCCTTTAGAAAAGAAAGCATTGATCGCTTTACATAAAAGGGGACCAATAATATGCCAACCAGTTTTGTAGAAATGAAAGTTAAATCCATCAGGACCAGAAGCTGATTTAGAAGAACCTTTCATCACAGCAGTTTTGATTTCCCCTTCCAGAAAAGGAGAAATAAGCAAGTTTGCAAGGCTGTCAGAGAGAAAATCTCCTACAGGCAGAACATACTTCTCCGGGGCAATAGGAGAAGGATTAAAAAGAGTTTGAAAATACTGCACAATAGATTTAATAACATCATCTCTAGAAAGAGTAGGATTGCAAGAGAAGATTAGATAAGGATTTAGACTTCCCCTGTCTACATCTAATCTTTCCATATAAGAAATTCAAACCCTCTTCACCATGTTGAAGCCATTTAACCTTTGCTCTTTGGATCACCCAGCTAGCAAGAGAGGCAGAAGTATCAGCAATGCTAAGATTAACCTTCTTAAGGTTTTCCAACAAGTCAAAGCGCAAAGGATGGTGTGTAAAACCCTTCAAAAAGCTGATTTTTTTAGTGCAGTTCGTCTGTACGAACTGGATTTAGTATTGGATGAACTGAAGAAATTTGTGAAGAAATCTGCCATTTTCGTCTGTACGAACCTGGAGCAGTCGGGACGATCCGTCTGTACGAAATCTGTCCAGAGAGCAAGTCGCCCGGGACGAATTTGGATTTCGTCTGTACGAAATTTGTCCAGAGAACCCATCGTACCAGGATGAAATTTTGGATCGTCCGGGACGATCAGTGTTAATAAATATCCGATTGAGATATTTTGGATTCATTTTGGAGAGAGAGAAAAGGCAAGAGAGAGAAAGAG